TGCACCTTCGCACGGGCAAAGGCCCGGCAGGCACCTTCAATGCAAACGGATCACTTGATGACTTCTAGTCACGGACAAGCATTCACCATCCGTTTGATTAGGCCGAAGTAGCTGGTGGGCAGGGGCTCACCAGGCCACATCCGGACTATGAAATCCTTCATAGCCACTTCGGCCGACTTGTGGAGTTCGACCAACTGCTTCAGTTGGTCACTCAGAGGCTATGAATGTTCGGCCCCAACATACTGGGACCAGAACAGCTTCTCTGTTGAGCTCCCCTCCTGGGCACGGTAGAACTCCACGGCATCTGATATGTTGCGTGGCAGATCTGCGAATGCCCCTAGAGAGCTCCGGACTCGGGTAAGTAAAAGAAACGCCTCCTCTACATGTTTGCGTTGCATAAAGAATTTCTTACCCACTGTTATCTTTTTGGCCTCCTCGATTTCCTGTTGTGCCTTCTCGGCTTCGGCCTTGGCGTCTTTTATACTTGCAAGGGCCCTCGCAAGCTCGGCCTCTTTTGCTTTAAGCTCATGCTCCACGGACTCGAACCTTTTGCCGAGCTCCTGGAGCTCTTCTTGTACCTCACCCACGCGGGCTTCTTGCTTTTTTGCGCTCTTTGCGTTCCAAGGCCGCCTTGTGTTCGGCCTCAGACATCGCTTTCTTGAGAGCCGCCACTTCGGTGGTGGCCTCTGTTATCAAATCACGACGCTTCGTTGTTAGAATAACCAATTTTATCTATCCTTCATTATATGAGAAAGGGGAATCATTCACCTTTGCTCTCTTCGAGCTGCCTCCTCGTGAGGTCGAGCTCTCCTTGCGCCTGCTCCAGGTCCTGTTTCAGTCCGGCGATCTCGGCCATACGGACCGCTGCGGTAAGCAGCACAACCTGCTTATTCAAATTCAAACTTATTGTTAAACTCCCGCGGATTATAATTGACCCACCATTTGGTTTTCCTTCCGAACACCAAACAGAGTATCAGGGGCTACTACCTATCGGGTGGTAATTTCACACATTTTTACTACTTACCTCAAAGCCTGTTAGGAGGCTGGTGCAGGCTTCGGTTAGTCCGCTCTTGGTGGACGAAACCTTCTGAATCACCGCACTCATGAGAGTACGATGCTCTTCATCTATGGAAGCGCCGCGAAGCGCTTCCAGCAGACGATGCGACGCCTCGGGCGTAGCGGAAGTACTCGGTGCAGACGGCTCACCCTCCTTAACGAGGGGCTGTCCGCCTGAGTCCGGAACCACGGGAGGTTCCGGAACAGTGTTCGGCTGAGAGTCCGGCTTACTGCGGCTCTCACCAACACGATCCACGGGGATCTTGAACCCCGCGTGTCCGACGTTTGGAATGCCGCCTTGGGGCGCCTCCGGATCCACCTCTCCCCGCTCTGGGAGCCTTTGGGACAACACCTCCGTGTCGTCCGCAGGTTGAGAAGTAGTGGCCGTCGGAAGTGAGTTCATCGCTGAGTCACTCAGGGACCCGTCCGAAGACGACACCTCGGGATGGGCCCTGGCCGGACTGCATACAAGTCCGTCAGCTCTGTAGATTCGCCCCAGGACAGGCCCTTCTGTTCCCAGGAGGTGAGCCGCATGGGGGTTCCAGATCGGAACTCGGGGGCTGCCGCCCAGTTGGAGTCACGCGGCTCGGTGATGTAGAACCATCCCGATTGCCACCCCTTCACGGTTTCCGCAAAGGAGCCGTCAAGCCAGGTGACGTTAGGCATCTTGCCCACCATGGATCCTCCACACTCCGCTTGCTGGCCGCTCACGATCTTCGGCTTCACGCAGAAGATTTGCAGCCACAAGCCGAAATGAGGCTTGATGCGGAGGAAAGCCTCGCATATGACGATGAACGCCGAGATGTTGAGGACAAAGTTCAGGGCTAGATCATGGAAATCTAGCCCGTAGTAGAACATGAGCCCGCGGACGAAGGGGTGGAGTGGAAACCCCAGTCCACGGATGAAGTGGGCGAGAAACACGACCCTCTCGTGGGGTCCCGGAGTTGGAGTGACCTGCCCGTCGTCCGGTAGCTGGTGCACTATGTCTGCGGCCAAGTATCCGGTCGCCCGAAGATTCGCGATGTGCTTCTCCTTTACGGTGGAAGCCACCCACTTGCCTCCTGCTCCGGACATGTTTAGTTGTGCAGAGGAGACTTGGGCTAGGGCGCTGGAGCTCGAGGGGGCAAGAGTGGGCAAAGGGGGAAGAAGGCGTGGGTAAAAATAGGGAACTCTTATCCCTTTATAGAGGCCGCGAAAGTGGTGCCCCTCCCCACTAGCCCGTTGAGAATTGCTTACTTCCCAAGCGCCACGATTGATGGCACTGTGGGATTACCCATACCCGTATTGATGAGAATCCCGTGATAAGGGGACACGATCTCTGCTTTGACAAGACGTGTCAAGGAAACCGCCTCGCAATACGCGCTCTGGCTGGTTGTGGAAAAACGGTTCGAATAATGACCTGACCGTAATGGCATATCACGTCGTCTAAAAAGTTGTCAGCTGAAGTATCATTCTCTCTACGGTGGTATGTGAAGATCATTTTGCAGATCCGGACACGGTCTACGTGTTCGATAATAACCTTGGAGTATTTGGAAGGAGGGACCCGCCTTGCAATGCCGAGGACAAGACTGCGTGCCGGACTCATCGTCATTGAAGCCTGGTTCAGGGGCTACTGAGGGAGTCCTGGATTAGGGGGTATCCGGACAGCCGGACTATATACATCGTCCGGACTATTGAAGCGTGAAGATACAAGACTCAAGACTTCTGCCCGTGTCCGGATGGGACTCTCCTTTGCATGGAAGATAAGCTTGGCGATCCGGATATTATATTTCCTTCCTTGTAACCGACTCCATGTAAACCCTAGCCCTCTCCGATGTCTATATAAACCGGAGAGGATGGTCCTTAGAAGGCCGATCACAGTTACATCATACCATCATAGGCTAGCTTCTAGGGTTTAGCCTCTACGATCTCGTGGTAGATCTACTCTTGTACTACTCATATCTTCAATATTAATCAAGCAGGAAGTAGGGTTTTACCTCCATCGAGAGGGCCCGAACCTGGGTAAACATTGTGTCCCTTTCTTCCTGTTACCATCAGCCTAAGACGCACAGATCGGGACCCCCTATCCGAGATCCGCCGGTTTTGACACCGACACCGCCCGCCCCTCTCTGGCAGCCATCAACGGGGCCACCAGCCCACCACTGGCAGTCACCTACATACATTGATCTCATCATGGACGACGACGACGAGGAGGACGGCAGCCACTGAAGATGACGACGAACATGAGTCCTTTCATGTACTACATATATTGCTCTATCAAAATATATGGTACTAACTCCAACGGTTGTCGACCAAGGCCAACTCCAACGGTGACCGCATTTTGTCCGATCCAGTCAGTTGGGTCGAAATGGAGGAAATTCATGGTCCAACACGTGCCCGCAACTGTAAATACTGTCTAGCTCGACCCAAATTCGACGTAAATTTGAGCTGAATTTACGTTCAGACGGACACTGGACGGACGTGCGTCCAACGTCTAGGGTTCCTCGTTTGTGTCGTCCGCCTCCCACTCCACCTCGTCGCTCGCCTTCTCCATCTCCCCGCCAAGAAAGAGCTAGTGAGGAGGGTGCTCAAGGACTCCGTGCGGGAGCACGACCGCGCCCAGTGGCTGGGCCTCAACGTGACGACGGCCCTGTCGATCGTCGGCGACGTCGCCATCCCTGAACTGGAGGTGAAGGATGAGGTGTTCGAGGAAGAGCCCCCCATTGTGGACTCGAACCCGACCTTGGTTGGGCAGCAGTGGTCATGGACAACCACAGTGCCATGCAGCCACCGCCGCCGCCGCCCTCGTGGGTGGGCGTCGAGCCGTGGTCCCCGACCTCGCTACATCCACATCAGTCACCGCCCACCCCCGGTTTGGCCGCCACCAGAAGCGCCGCCCGCCCCTCTCTGGCACCCATCAACGGGGCCGCCAGCCCACCACTGGCAGTCACCTACATACATTGATTTCACCATGGACGATGACGACGAAGAGGACGGCAGCCACTGAAGACGACGACGACCTGCGGTGGGGTTTCTTTTGTTTTATGCTTTTTAAATTTTAGTTAATTTGCAATGTTTGGTCATGACGTCGTGAACGTTTAAGTATGTAATATATCATTTTAAATTATTTTGCAATGTCTTTTTTTGTTTAAATTTTTGTCCAAATGCAGACAATTTTTAAGATGTGGCAGCCAGTTGGACGTGCCGACAAGCGGACAACCGCAAACAGACACGAGCGTCCATTTTGCCGACGCAAACAAACATAATCCGGACAAAATGGACGTTCATTTCAGGTCGCGCATTGGAATTGGCCTAAGATTTAACTACCAAACGCAAAAAAGAAAAAAACACAAACACATGCTTCTATATGGCAGTCTCGTGCTACTTGGCCCCGTTTTCTTTTTGTTGAGAACTCGACCAGTCATTTCCAAGCAAAACCTGAAAAACACTGCGAATCAGTTTTGTCTGTAGATTTTTTTTTTGACAGCACAGTTTTGGCTCTAGATTATTACTACCTGCTGTTACTTTCTCACCAGTATCTTTTTTCTTGCCAGAGAGTGATTTACTAAAGGCAACAGGCACACCATTTTATTTCTTTCTCAGTTCCTGGGAAACAGATGTTTTGTGGCGTCACATACAACTTCTACGCCATTTAGCAACAATTTCTGCCTGTCTAGTCAACGGCTTAAATGTTTCGCAATCTACTGAAAGCTGGGCATTCAGGCTATTATTATTGTCCTTCCGTTGGATACTATAGCAACTGTGGCGTTCATCCGAACTGGATGATCGTGAGGCGGGGATTGCATCCTTCACTATATTAGTTAGAAATCACAGCGTGGCGATCACGTTGTCGAATGATGAACCGGCTAGCCACGCCAAACATCCTGTCGACCGCAAAGAGTTGCGTTATAGAAGCATAGGAGAACGGGAGGTCAAGTTACACAGGTGGAACTCAACCTGTGGTGTCAGGCGCGCTTTGTGCGCCTTCCAACTTGAAGAGCCAGCTCGGTGTCTATCTTGAGAGATATGTCGAGCGCCTTCACGGAATGCGTCAACGCTCCACTGTAAAGGATTGACAAATTGTTTGAAAGGTACAATCAGAAGAGCGAAAACGAGAATTTTAAGGAGCTGTCCATTTAAGGGAATGATAAAGGTGTGTTCATGCCTTGAAATGTATGTAACTCCAGTTTCTCCGATTTTCTTCACCGTATCGATCGTCACATTTCCAGACGCCTGCAGTTGGAAAAACAAAAGAAAATGCTCAACGTCCAGCATGACTTGTGCAATATACAGCCTGTGTGTAACTCATCTGCTAAAGCTAGGAGTTTATCAAAATTAGAGCATATGAGGAGGCGACAACAAAGCAATACCAATATATAGTCACGTTGAAAAGATAGCCTTTACTAAAAAAGGGAGAGGGGAGCATGATGGAATTTTGCTTTCGAAAGTTGGACTTCATACCTCGGTCTCAAATCTTCCATTTATCAACTGAACTGCATCTTTGAGCATTGATACATCTAGGTCCCCATTAGGAAGAGGTACAACCATATTATCCAACATTATACGAGTTAATGAAGTCTTGTTCTCATCGGTATACTTCAATAAATCTCTAACTTCCTCGAGTGTCCTCGTCTCGACCTGATTCACAGAACATACAGATGTCATGATATGCCTTGAATTCTCTCTATTCTTATGTTTAAGAGAACATATGGCATTTTTACAAAATAAAGAGGAAGATAGGTATCGCAAACAGATCACTCTGAAATAGACAGGTGAACTGCTGGAATGATGAATACATGCACACCAAGTCACAAGGGAAAATTATTTTAGATGATAAATGCAACCACGACCATGGTACCTCAACAGGAACTGCAAGATTTTCCTTCTCCAAGAACTGATCAACAGATGTCATTGCATTTGTAATGCCCCCGGCAACAGAAATATGATTATCTTTTATCATAACCATATCAAATAATCCAAGCCTGTGATTCTTCCCACCACCAATTAGTACCTACATGTATATCGAGCATGAGCAAAACTGCATCACAACAAAGGTCAAAGAACTAAAAGTGATGAAATGGCCACACGAAAAGGGTATGCTTACTGCCCACTTGTCAACCAGACGTAAACCTGGAGCAGTTTTTCTTGTTTCCAGTATGCATGCTGGACGAGCAGCATCAGCCATGGCCTGAATGGAAGTAGGAGCAAAGACATTCTCATATGAGTAACATAGAAGCAAATTATGACAGAGAAGGGATACCATAAGCAACATCACCTTCGTCATTGTAGCGATTCCACTCATTCTTTGCATGAAATTTAGCACAACCCTCTCAGCAACAATAATACTCTGAGCACACCCTTAATATAAGGAATGAAAATGGGGGGAGAGAATATTAAGACTTGAAAAGGAGTTAACACAACACCACACTGTTAAGTGCTGCTGAATATGGTATTTTCAAGGTATTTTACCATATACTTTGCCAAACTGCAATCCCTTATGAACATAATTTCCATCAGCTTCAAACCATTCAACCTGGAAAATGTCCAAGAAGGAACAACAGGTACAGACCCATAGTCAATATCACGCATTACGCCTATAGAACCATATCTGCCAAAAACAGAAAATGGGGAAACTGATGTGATAGACATACCTTCAACGACGGATCAACCTGGTTAAATATCATCTCAGCCAGGCTTATGCCTGCAATGACACCGTCCTCCTTAGCAATAAAAGTGGCTTCAGCTTTCACATCGGTTGGTATCGTAGCCAAGCATGACACATCCCCTAAGGTGTTGCCAGACAGTTAGAACATTATCACAGTGAAAGATGACACATGTATGACCATTCAAAAGCGGGAAAAAGTTTCAGAATCAGAAGAGAACAAAACCCAACTTGCATAGCAACTTGTGAAGAAATGACCCAACTGGAGCTTATCTAGTTATCTCCACTTCTTTAGCTAATAGGTCACCGTTTGAGCGAGAACGAATGGTCACGAGTAGGTTGATTACCAAGAAAGCACCTGCCACGACTGGCTGAAAATACAGACTTGGATGAAAGCGAATAATCATAGTGTCTGGTACTGCTTGCTGGAGAGTGAACATCACATATAAGTGGATACAAATTGATCTGATCCATTCAATGTGTTCATTCTTCCATCATAAATGGCATTTTCCCATGTACAACAACAAGCCAACAGTAACAACTCAGCTAGGCTAGCTAGACACCTGACATCTGAATCCTGGTTGCAGCAGCAAATTGGACAACTAAAATTTTGTCTCCTATCGCAATCAACCAGACTTAGGGTGGGAGAGTCAACTGCAGCACTATTCTAATTTCCGGCACACTCTTAAGGGCCGATCCTAGCACTATTTCAACTGCTAGTCAATAAGAGTCAGCACTACAGAGCGAGCTTAAGCCGGACTGATGCCCGCGGGTCCAGGTGTGATTGATCGCGTACGGAAATACGGACGAGCAATTCGAAGCCAAAGAGCGAGGTGCAGTACAGATGAAGCAGCGACGAAGCAAACAATTTCGCTAGTCGTGCTGCGCGGGCGGCGCGCGCAACTGCAACTCGGGGCAGACTAGCACGGTAGTTGTGCAGAGAGGAGTGAGGGCGAGGGCGATGTTACCTCGGTCGCCGGCGTCCTCGGAGAGGGCGAGGGCGATGACGGCGCTGAGGTCGTAGGTGGGGTGCGCTGGAGGCGGCACGGGCGACGGGGCCGCCCGCGCCTCGGCGGACATGGAGGCCGAGGGGGCGGCGCGGGGGCGAGCGGGCAGGCGCAGGCGGAGGCGGCCGCTGGGGCGCGGGTTGCCGGAGCGCGCCGAGGAGGAGGAGGGGAGGTGCTGGCGGATGGGCGCGGCGGCGGTGGGAGTCGCGGGCGTCATCCGCGGCCGGCGGCAGGGTGGGGGTTGGGCGAGTTGGGGCGCGTGCCAGCGGCGGTAGGGGGAGCCGCCTTTTTCCCGTGCGTCCGCGGCGAGCGGTGCGGTGCGGCTTTGCGTTGAACCAGACGACACACCGGTGGCGCAGTCCACCCGAGTCGGCTCGCGCCTCGGTCGGCCTCTTGCTCTTGGCCAAAGGGCAGTCGTGGTGAGAACGTGAGTGCTTTCCAACTTCCAAAAATTAGTTGCTACCACTAGTTGTAACACCTTTTCATTTTCTGCGGGGGAGTTGCTAGTTAATAACTAATCTTGATTATAGCATGTCCAACCCATTCGTCATTCGATCCATTTTAACTTTTCCTCCCGACCCTAGTTGTCGCCGCCACAGCTTCCCTACACGCCACCACCTCGGCCCCGCTCCTCTTCCCCTGTCTGGCAGACTCGTTTGCGACTAGAGGAGTGGGGACGCACCCATCTCGTTTGATTTTTTCTTTTCTTAGGTTTTTGTTTCTTTGACGACATCAACGAGGCGGTGACGGTGATGGCATGCTGAAATAAGGTCTCTTCCTACCTCGAGGACGTCCGATTATGCCTCGACGAAGAGCCTATGAGAGTTTGTGTCCCATGATCTGTTAGTTCCCTTCGGATCTTGGTAGTTCGTGTGTCTTTCAAGGAGAGTTATTGATGTGTCGACTTTGACACCTTATTCCGTGTTGTCATGTGGCTTGGTCCGTCTCTCCAACCTTCTGAACTGGTGCTGATGGATTGCAAGCCCGTTCTGCATGGGGTGATGCTCCAGCCGGCGCTACTTCAACGATTTATAGATCTCGTCTCAAGGAGAGGGTGGCTATTGTGGTCTTCAAACCCTGGTATGGCGAGGGTGTTCGCAGGTGTCTCTTTACTTTATTATTGGTTAAGTGCAATTTCCAATCTCCGGCGGACGACATGCAATCAGACGAAGAAGGTAGCCTTCATGTCAAAATTTGACTACGGTTAAAAAGAGCCCTTTCGCTCAAAAATGCTCCCATGACAACAAAATGAGCACTTTGGCTCATTTTTGTTGCCATGATAGGGCTTAAAAATGCTGACATGGTAGCAGAACTGGCTACAAAATTGCTATGGTGGCAGCAAAAATGAGCCAATTCGCTCAAAAGCCTTGTCATGACATTTGAAACAGATTACAACCTTCATCGAAGTAAGAAAATAAATGAACATTTTTACTCATTTTTATTGACATGATAGTATTTTGGGCTTATTTTTGCTGTAAAAAATGCCGGCATGGCAGCAAAATAAGCATTTCACTAATTGTTGTTGGCAGCAATAATGTGTTGAATATTTTTATAATTTGGGTACCTTTTAATACTGAAAATTACTACTAGTGTCGAAGGTTATTAGTGACGATCATGGTGCAACATGCCACTAGTATATTTTGACATGAAGGCTTGAGTTTAAATTTGCCCTTGAGTGAATGTGCGTACCTTGGGCGTTATCACAAATTATTTAATTTTTTGCAAGAAAAATTTGTGATCTATTCATCATTTTTCATGGTAGTACAAGGAACACAATAAATAACAAAAATTGCATTCAGATCTATAGGCCACCTAGCGACAACTACAAGCACCAGAGTGAGACAAAGGCGTGTCGTCATCATCGCCCCTCACTCATTGTAGTCGGGCAAAACTTGTTGTAGTAGACAGTCTGGAAGTCATCGTGCTAAGACCCACATGATCAACACACCAGAACAACAACCGCCGCTAATGAAGAGAAGCGTAGATCAGAAGAATCTAACCTGTAGACACATGAGCGAAGACAAATGGAAACTGGATCCATGGGGATCCACCGAAGACCAACACCGATCTAATCCCACGAGATCGACAAAAGGCACACCTCCACACGCCCTTCGATGATGCTAGATGCACTGCCGGGATGGGGGCTAGGCGGGGAGGACCTTATTCCATCTTCATGAGTCTTCCTGGGCAGAATACAAATATAGTCGACCTAAAAACACCTAAAGGCGGAATAAAAACCGAACCACCGACCCAACCTCCACCGCGCCTCCATGACCCTCAGGCCACCGGAGACGAAGCGGACTGGCGGCAGCCCCGACGGGAGAATTCCTAACATGCCGCAGATGGAAACCACATATGGTTTGCTTACTATATGCCATCACATGTATACTTGTATTTCCATGTCCATTCAGTTTAACATGTTTATGCCGACACAAGTATATAAAAGTGACAACTCCCTGAACCGTGACAATGAAAGAAAGTACGACTAATCTACCATGTGAAGCTAGCGAGATGGGTAAATGAAGCAAACCCTAATGCATGATAAGGTAATAATTCACTTTTGCCCAGTACTTTGTCAAGCCAAAACATAGCTCTTCCACATGCACTTTCAAAGACCAAACAACTCCATATATATTTTGTACACCACTTCAGCAAACAAAAACATTGCATATTCCACATTAAAAATATGTAATACATGATAGGCTAGTAATTCCCAGATTTTGCCCAACACTTGGGCATGCAAAGACATAACTGTTTTACATGTACTACTAAAGACAAATAGTATAGGTCCTTCCTATGCACTTTCAAACAAATATGCTAACAAAACGTTCCAACTTACAAGAAGGAGCTGCTCTTTCAGGTCTCAACTCGCAAATGGCAGAAGGAACAAAAAACTTATTACATATGAACACATTAGAATGTTTGGAAAAAAAAGAGAAGACAAGATAAATATATATCTTTTGAAAGGGCATCAAACCTTTGTTGTTGGTCGTGTGTGTGTGTTATGGTGGCGTGCGTTTGTACTGGGTTGTTGTTGGTCGATGCTTTATATATAAAGCGGGGCGAAAACCTTTTTCGGTAAAGGGCATCAAACCAGTCAACAACATTTACATAGTGAGCTACCAAAGGAATAACCATCAACATATATCATGTGTGTGGCTGTTATAGTAAAACCTGAGAAAAAAACATTGCAACTAGCGACGAGGAGCTGCATGTTCTTCCAGTTTGCAGCTAATTAACATAAATATACTACATGGTAGCAGCGAAGGATTTCCCAAATAGAAAAGTTGTGCGAACAAAAGTTTATGATAATTAAATACAAAGACATTAGAATGTTTGTAACAAAAGATATGGCAAGATAAATGGAGTATCTATAGCTTGATATTATTTTCAAAGGACATTAACAACAATTGCATAACGAGCTATCAAATGGATCAGCTATCCACAAATCATGTGTGTGCTTCTTATTGGAAAACCAACACCCACCAACATCTCTTTCAAAATCAAATCGAGCATCTCTAGAAGCCCTCTTGTCTAGTTGTAGCCGTCTCTGCTGATTAGCCATCCATTTCTCATTATAGGTACCACAAACACCAAATTTCATCACCTTTAGCACCTTTGCGTTCAGAACAAAGAACTTGGCAAAGTTAACATCTGGTTGCATGCCTCGATAGGTGTTCACTATGATTGCTCTAAGATGGAGATTGAGGCATTCAATAGGATCGATGAGTATGTCATATGGCCCCACATTTTTCATATCCTTCCTAAAACGTGACTGCAAAAGAAGGAATTTAAGTATTGTAAGCACTTAGGTTGGAACAAAATATTATTTTTGTTGGACTAGAAGAGTAATTTCCTGATAGTTGGCGTCTAATCACATATGGATTAGTTGCATGGTGTGTGTGAAAGTCAGGATTATTGAACAACTTTGAGCTTACACATATGTGTTTCTTTTAACTTCAAAGTTCTCCTAGATGCTGTTTTGACCACTACATCTGTTACCGTATAGAGTTTGGGAGAAATTGCAAAATAAAAATGGTTCCGAAAATTATCTCTATATGTTCAACTAGGCATCCAGAAGGACTACGAGAAAGTTAAAACAACATTGGATAGGTTGTACTGCTTTGTAGTTTTGCACGTTTTGCTGAAGTGAACATTTATCAAAAATGATTTTCACCTGGATGTATAGCTTTTCCATGCAAGGAAAGCATCTAAGAAATCGAGCAATTGTATCCAGGTTGGGGCCGATGGATTCTAGGACCAACACCTTCACTGTGCGCATTGACGCGGTCAAGCTGACGGGGATCATTTCCTGGTAAAAACAAACACACACTGAGATGTACATCAATATAACAAAATGTGATGTAATAGTAAATGCTCAAATGCAACATATGTAAATTTCAAGAAAAACAAGACGACCCGTTGCACCTTAACAATTATGGTTCCAATCACAAGTTCGTAGATTTGGCTAGACAGGTAGCCCAATACCGTTAGCTTGGGTGCCGCGATAACCGTGATTGTCATTGGGACATCCCCTGAATCAAGTGGGATCAATCTTTCAAGGCATGGTGCATCCTCGATGACAAGCTCCTGAAGCACCATGTCTGATTTGTAGTAGTAAGATACATAGACAGCAATACTCCTAAGAGTCGGCGAGACGATCCGGACAGTGCTGAGCCCGTTGCCCTGAAGCTCAAGGCTCTCGAGCGCAGTGCAGCCAGCGAGCAGGTGGTGGAGGGCTTCCTCTGAAATAGCGACGCCGGGGAGCTTGAGGTGCTTCAGCCGAGGGAGACGGAGCGCGGGGACAGCAGCAACGTCGGGAAAACCACAGTCGCGGAAGCTGGCGACACGTAGCGTGGGCGCCAAGCGGAGCGCGGACGGCGGCAGCGGATTGCAGCCCCCGTAGAATTGGAGCTCCTCGAGGCCATCGAGCGCGGGGGATCGGAACCAGCCGTCGAACTTGGCGTAGAGGTCGCGGCGCAGGCGGATGGCGCCGATGGCGAGGGAGAAGCGGCAAGCAGGACCGTGGTGCGTGGCAAGGATCTTGGAGACTATGGCGACACGGTCGCGCTCCCGTCCCGAGAGGCGGCGGTCGACGACGAGGTTGAGCGGGGCGGAGCGCCAGAGGTGGCGCCACCGGGAGGAGAGAACGCGTGTCCGCGCGGCCTCCTTGGTGGAGAGGAGGGAGATGACGCTGCCGAGGATGTTGTCGGGCAT